ACTCTCTCTCTCTCTCTCTCTCTCTCACACACACACACACACTCTCTCTCGCTCACACACACACACACACTCTCTCTCTCTCTCACACACACACACACTCTGTCACTCTCACACACACACAGTCACTCTCACACACACACTCTCTGTCACTCTCACACACACACACACACACTCTCTGTCACTCTCACACACACACACACACTGTGTTAGCAGTTTCTTATGTAAATATGTGTATATATGAATAAAATACATGTTTGATAATAGTTTATTTTGACCTTTTATTTGAAAAAAATTTCAATGTTATAGAAAATCACAAAAAGGTGTTTCTATATCACTTTGCACAACTTATGTTTCAGAGCATCTTTATAGAGCATCCAATCAAGCCGAATAACTCTGTTCCTCATGTGAAGGTGAAGCTCTCTTGATAAGGCAGGCTGTGTTCTGAATCCCAGTAAAAGGCTAGTCAAGTTCAGCGGTGGGAGAGAGGAGAGAAAAAACGACGAGTTCTGTAACTGACTGAAGCAATCAATTGTGATTAACCCACCACCGTCGGACCCACCGAGATCCCCTGCGGCGCTTCACCGGATTTATACCGCGCTACAGACACAGCGGTGTCGACGACGGTGACCTGCGCTCATGCTGCTCTCCTGCGCCTCTAACGCGTTAGTATGTGTTCCTACAACAAACATATGATCTCCTTTAAACTCTAACGAATCGCATTAAAGGCGATATTTTGATCTTTTATGCCGTTTCTGTGATTCAAAGCGGTGCATGATGGGAAACGTCTGGATCTGTCACCTCATTGGACGGCAGCATCACATGACTGATTCCTACTGTTTCCTCCGGAGGCGCTGAGCAACTTAAAAACCGATTCCAAATAGCAGTACGACTGCATGTGTATTATTTATATAGTAAAAGTTTAGATGTATTAATTTCACGGATTTGTGCAGTGCAGTGATCGAGGTCGAATCTGATTGGCTCATCCTGAGACAGGCGCTGAGAAAAGTAACAGCGGCGCGTCACGTTGCTGTTTGGACAATAATTTACACCTGAATTATGAAATTAACAAACATGAAATTAAAAAGTGAGCCGCTATATCACCCCTATTTCTCCAATGCGAAGTTCTGCCACGTTCGCTTTAATTTTACCGCATTTAAATGTCGATAAAAATGGAAATTACTGAAACAACTAATGTTTTAGATTTATGATTTCAGCTTAAAATTAGTATCTGCCAAATACTTATTTATTGAGGTACGTTTCTGCTAAATTCCCTCCTTACCGCCACAGCAAATAAAATATGTATATTTAATATAAAATAATTCATGACGAGCTGAGAAAACACGTCTGGTCTCATTATAAAACATGCATAATTAAAATAAAACGGAATGAACGAATCTTAATTATTAATCATTAGTAATTAAATATTTAAGTTTTGGATTATTTATAGTTCCTCAAAGGAACAACTTTCTTCCCAATGTTTCTTTGTGTACAGTGGCAGTGTACATTAGTATCAGGTAGAATACTATAGTATTTTGATATGTACCCACTGATCTATATAATTATATGAATTCTCTGTTATAGATCAGTGTATGTACCATGGCACTGAATGATTACCATGCGCATATACCATGGTATTTACATGTTCGAGAGCAGCAGATGTCGCTGTTTCACACACACGAGCTGAAAGATGAACACAAACATGAGTCTCATGATTCTTACATAATCAACACACACACACACACACACACACACACACACACACACACACACTAATGAGAGTTACTGACACACACACAC